CGTAAAAGAACTTTAGTACATGTTAATTTGTGCTGCTCTACATAAATCGCAAAGAAACCTCTTAATTTTTTTCCTTTTTTTTTTTTTTTTTTTTTGGAACCTAGGTCTTAAGATTTAGCTTGCAGACTTTGCTTTGAGAACTTCTCTGTTGGGGGGTTTTTTCAATTTAGCGGATAATTAATCGGTTTATTTATTTATTTATTAGTTTTATAAAAAGTACTTTTTTTTTAATGTTGTTTATATGATAAGTATTGTGCATACATTGGCTATTTTTTCTTTATTTATTTGTTTGTTTTATGCTTTGTATCTAGCCCTTTCAAGTATGTGCTAAGCACTTAATATATTCTCGACATTTCACCAAAAAAACATATCCTAGATTTTATTCGTTAACCAGTGACAGTTCTTATATTCACCAAAAAACAGTTCTTCTCCTTATTTGTTCTATTTTTCTTAAGATAGAAGGTTATTTTTTATTTTTTGCGTTTTGACTTGCATAATATTCTATAGTTCTGATTAGTTAGATCAACCACTTGTTGAAGGGCTTAATTGACAACAACAACAACAACAAAAAATTGAGGGCTCTTGAAAGTTTATGGAAAGTTGCTTTGCAAAACTATTTTCTTTAATTTATGTTATTTAAAAGAGTGATTTGAATATATATTGAAAAAGTATTGTCTAGTTTAAACCATACAATTTTAATTATCAAATGGAACAAGCTCTTGATGTTAGAGTTGATCTTTCTATCTAATGGTTATTGTTTTAAAATATAGTGTAATTCAAATTGTAAAATATGAAACTCTTTAAATATTATAATATAAAAAATCATATTTCCCTTATGTTACAGAATATTCTCCCTTGATTATGTCCACATTGCTATGATTATATTCAAATTATAATTGATTGATATAATTAGATTAATTGATTTTGTACCATAGAATATTCTCTTGTACAAGCCTATAAATAAACACTTTGTATATTCAAATGAATCAAGAAAAGTATTTTCTTCATATTTTTCTCTCCTGCTTATTTCCTCTCATGGTATCAGAGCACAATGGGCTCTTTTTCCTTTGAGATTTTGTGTTTTTTTTTAATTCTCTACATCAGCAGCTCCGTTTCGTGCTAGCAACTCCATTTGGTGCCAATCACATCACTTGTTTTCAGTCACATTCTCATACCAGCTCCGTTTCCAGTGGTGTTTGTTCCAATCGCGTTCCACTTGTTCCGATCGTGTTCCACTCGCAAAATTAGTTTTGGATTTTGCTGTTGTTCTCCTACGGGTTCCACTGATCTTTCGCCCAGATTTTGGCTGTCGTGATTGCTGCTGTCAGCCATATATCAGCCGAAATTCCTGC